AAAAACGTTCAAAACGAAATAAAGTCACGTTCACATGACAATTACACGGCCATACTGTAACGACCAGGCTTCTCACCGGAGCTGTTATCTTACGGCCATACTGTAACGATTCGGCCTCTCACCAGAAAGGTTAAGGTAGGAGAAGAGGTGCTGAATCTAGAAATAGGGATGAAGTTCCCAACTACTGCTCCTACCATCAATCCTATGGTCACTGCACCGAAAACTGCTGGGACGTCGCAAGACATTCCCGAAGTCAAAACCAGGCGAGGGGGAGACATCCCTCAAGGAATATCCCTTATAAGCTGAACCGACCACCTAGAAATAATGAACAACATCGGTCTAACAAAAAGGACCCCCCGCAAGGAATGGAGGATACTGAAGGACCCAGAGAAGGTCGAAGGCAGTGACAAGGCCCCCTACCTACAACGAACATGAACCCATTCGGAAAATCGACACTATCATTGGTGGTCCTCATGTGGACGGAGATTCTAGAAACTTTCAAAAGAATTATGCCAAGGAAACAACCGACCCAGCTATGACAAGCTACATAGTGAATCAATCTACGAGTTGGAGGACTTCGCCTCCAATCACTTTTATGCAAGAGGATGCACTAGGAGTACACTACCCCCACTGATCAGCCTTAATGGTTAGAGCTGTTGTCGCTCGCAACGGCCTAAAAATGATGTTGGTGGACAACGAAAGCTCAATCAACATCATATTTAGTACCACCTTTGATAAGATGAAGGTTGATCATGAGCTATCCCCAGTAAACTCCCCCTGTTCAGATTTACGGGAGATTGCATCATCCCTAGGGGAAAAATCACCTTGGCGATAGAGATAGGAGCCGAACCTCTGGTTGCTCGATGCTTCATGGAATTTTTCATAGTCAACAACCGATCTGCTTACCACGGGGTGCTTGGAAGACCCGTGTTAAAAAACTTATGGGCGGTAACCTCAATTCACCACTTGTTCATGAAATTCCCCACTGATAATGGTGTGGCGACAGTTCGAGGTGACCAACGAGGCTCTATAGAATGCTATTCCAACTCCCTAAGGAAGGCAGAGCCAAGAACCACCAACGTCGTCTTTGCTGACGTTGATATGGACGACCTCCCTGAACAAGGGATCGCCCCTGAACAAAGGGAAGACGTCCTCATGATCGAAACTCCTGAAAAAGGATCAATTGCTGAGAAAGCATCAGTCTGGAAGAACTAGATCCCCACATTATTGATTGCGAGCCTCAAACGGCTCTAATAGAGGAATTGGAAACCTACCCAACTG